GTGATCCTCACTGTGCCTGGTTGGAGACACTACAAGATATGGCTGCCAGCCGATGTCAGTGACGTTCCTGTTGTCAGTTTCTATCCAGATCGCCTGAGTGAATGTCTGGAGGTATAGGTACCTCGGAATGGTTGTGGTAAGCTAGCTCTAATTCCCTTCCCCGTCCACGTTTACTCTTTTCTTTACAATAGGGCTTTCAAATAAATCATGGTTGTACGGCAGTGAAGCATCGGTGTTTAACACTGATACCATGATGCCGATGATGATGCCCAAATGACCCAATAAAGCAAAGGACGCAAAAAGGTGGTTGGGCGAGCCTAAAAGAACTGCGTCGAACAGAATCCCATTCTGGTAGGATGGCGACTGCTCAGTCCATCGTAACCAGTTCATTACACTTCAGTTCTGCGCAGAGTAGCTTTATCACAAATTGAATGCCTTAGTGGTTCTACATCACCTCTTCCTATAAAAAACAAGATGAACAGGTTACGTTTTATACCACTTAAGTGGTATCAATAAATGGTGGAGCCATCCTGAGGTACAAGCAACATATCTGGCCAATGAATGAATGACATTGGAACCCATCAGGTAATAATAAAATAAAATATTCGTTCAGCTGTAACGCCCTTATGGTGCCTAGCTGCCATATCACCCGAAGGAAGCATGAGGGCCGGGATACTGCCAGCTTACTCAATCCTAGATGGGAGAAGTCGAGATGCAGAGGGTTCGAACCATGGACCTTCGGGTCAGTAAAATCACGTTTTCACCACTGAGCCATCTCGCCCACCCCCATCAGGTAGCAAAGGGTGATAGCGGTAGGGTGGTTGAATGCTACTTCAATTAGAATGACAGTTCACTCGATGAGCTAGTGAACCCGAATTCAACGGGTGGCTAGATAGGTCAAACATCCTCTCAACCCAAAATTATCCCAGGCTGCGGGCCATACGTGACAATTCACAGACCAAGTCCCTGGCAAAAAACTACTCAGCTACCGTACACCCACCAACCTCTGAATGTCATGCTCAGAATGGTCATTTCTCCGGATTATCCAATGACACTGGCGCTCGTGTGCGTATACTTCATAAGATAGTCGCAACCATTTTCAAGAGCTTCTCTCTTCTATCAAGTAGTCGATCGGCACAAGTCGGTTTAAGCCCGACTATAGGGATGGAATTTTACTTCCACTTGTCAGATAGACGCCTGGCAACGCAAACATAAACGCAGTCAAGTAAACACGTGAAGAATACGAAGATAGCAACAATGTGCTTGAAAAACATTTTTCAAGACTCACCAAGTTCGTATAGTTGCCCTGAATTCTCAATAAAGCAAACAAAATGAAGATTCGTCTTGGTTGATGCTGGAGGTGCCTGGAGAGCAGCTTTACTAAAAGCCTATATGGCACACATTTACCTCAGTTTGACCTTTCGCAGCCGAGTTTTCATGAAGTTTGGACAAGCGCTAAAACCTCAGGCGTGAGTTTTAAGATGAACACACCTCTTCACCCTCGAAAACTGCCGCACGTTCAGAAGGTCTCATGTCACGTGTTCGAGCCATTAGTTCGTCAATGAGCGACCGATCTGTGTTAGATAACGGTAGATAGTGATCAAAAGCAAAAAAGCTTTCAGTCCGGCAAATCGTTTAACTACAAAACAAAATGAAGTTTCCACATCGACTTGAATAGATTATCCGAGTTACGAATGAGGATCAGATCAGGCCTGTGTTGCCGAAAGCTTGTAGAGTTTTTAAGCCCATCATACCCCTTTCTCTCCCTTCATAATGGGATTTCTGTTAGCAACGTGGCAGATTTGGCTTAAATTATAAAGGAACTGGGGTTGGACATGTCTGTTACTTGCTCAATTCCCTACGAGCAGCGCAACAGGCACAATTAGGATTTAGTCAGTATTGAACTACCACCTAAAACGTTCAACTCAACATGAGAACTAAAAGAAGTAAATACGGTCACTAGAAAGCTCCGTAGTTAGATTACCGAAGAATGGACGGTGAACAGAAACCATAAAATTAATTTTGAGAGCTAAATGAAACCCGGTAGTCCTTCAAAATTTCGCGTATCTATTCACTTCGTTGTCGAGAAAAACCGTCAGGTCGATATTTATATGCATCATGCCACGGTGAACGTACTTTCCTACACTATCAGAACTGCGTTGTAAGCTCCTACGTTTTATGGTCATGACGGTTGACTAACAAAGGCTATATTCCAGCTCCTGATGCTTTTGTACTACTGTTTTAAAGAACCAACACAATTCTTCGTGTTTAATGAGCCCAAATAATCTAGATGTGAAGAGTCCAAGAGATTGCTTTTCATTTCGCTAAATAGCAAACTGAATATATATTTTCCCATGGAAAGATCTAGGACAGTGTGGTTACTACTGAGCTCCATCTGCAATCAATCAATAGAAATTATTAAAAATAATATTCGTTCTGCCGTAACACCCTGTGGGTACCTAGCTGACATGCCAACTGAAGGAAGCACGAGGGCTAGGACACTGCCAGGTTGCCCAAGCCTAGACGGGAGAAGTCGAGATGCAGAGGTCGGGTTCGAACCACAAACCTTCGGGTCAGTAAATTGACGCTCTAACCACTGAGCCATTGGTGTTTCAAGATTTATGAGGCTTCAAAGCCGTTTGCATTCGCCTTCGACGAGCACCGCAAAAGCCTCACTCGCAAGACATCACCCTCATAGTTAACGTGGCTGGCGGACGATAGAGACCCACTGGATGCGTCATAATGTATGATTTCCGCAGATGTTGTAGAAACAAACGTATCAGTTCCAGGCTAAACGACAAAGCATCGGTTAAATTTACATTTCACCCATTACTGCCTAGTATTGGGTGGTCCAGAGAAGCATAACAGACGTGCACCAAAAAGGTGACGCATCCTCACTAATAGATTTGTCCTTAACAGCTAGCACGGAAAACCAAGTGAGAATTTGGTTTGTATGATAAACAATTATCTGGGGAAGTTGCTGTTATTACAAATTGGGGAATGCGTTATAGCTCGGAGCACATCTAAGGCCAGGCTGTGGCAGTTCGCAGCACCACGCTCGTAGATGAGTAGATAGGAAGTAGCAAGCAGAGTTCAGTGTTCTCACAGGATTCGTGTAGAAACGGGGGATTTTCCTGGGCTCACCTTTAAATTCCAAAAACTGTTCATTGTTCATTATGCCGTGCAACAGGGCAATCGTGCCGCATGCGTTGCTGATCGTTTGCTTAACCAAGAACACATGTGGGTTATCCACAGACTGTCCAATCCCATCATCCGTATAGGAATCATGAAGTGGATATAGCATAATGACTGCTAAAACTGGCCTCGGCACCATTGATAATAGTTCTGGCTCGAAACCATACACATCCGAAAACTGCCATTCAGGTTTAATGCCTAGGTTGTACATAAACTAAGGACCATAGGATGACGAACAATCCATATATACCTGATTCATAACCTAAAAAAGGTAAACGGAAATGAGACAACCGCCTACTTCTGGGTTCGCTTCCATAGGAACCCACCGCAGCGTCATACTGTAACGGGCTGTACGTCAAACCGCTGAAAAAGAAAGCGGATATAATATTAAAATATCCATGTTACCTAATAAAATGAACGAGTAAAAGTATTTTTTCCTGTTCACGAAAAACCAACTTCGGAAATTAGAAAATACCACGTTTAAGGGTCTTTTTTCTTCAGAGGAGCTAATGTCGTGATGAATATCCCATGAGTTATCTACTCGAGTAAGTCAGTTGTTTGTCTGACCCAAAGCTGTCAACTAGTCGGTGTGTTCGGGCTTCTGTGTTTCGATGACCAAGCGGGGTATACCCGCTCAGCCGTAACACCCTTTTAGTGCCTAGCTCCCATGCCACCCGAAGGAAGTACGAGGGCTGGGATACTGCCACGTTGCCCAAGCCTAGACAGGGGAAGTCGCGAGGCGGAGGTCGGATTCGAACGCGGACCCTCCGATCAGTAAATCCGCACTCTAACCACTGAGTTATCTAACTCATGAATCAACAAACCCTCATTGGATTCAGAGGATCTCCACATTTCTGCTTTTAATGCCCGCACTCTGTGTTAAATTGGACAAAATATGGCTCTAAACCCTTGTTTATTCTTTCGATAAAAAGAGAGTACCAGCGGAATGGAGCTCCTCGACCATCATCCAAGTTTTTAGAAAAGAGTGCAAGAGCGTGAAAACCACCGTGATTTCACACTGGTATCCGCCGCACCCAAGGTGCTCTGCGGCGTTATTTTGCGAAATTTGGTGGACTACCGAGAGATTCGTGAAAACCAAGCTGGGTTTCGCCCTGGTCGATGATGCATCCACCATATCTTCACCCAGAGACAGATTCTTGAACAGCATCACTCCTTTGTAATGCACTACTCATAAGGTTGCTGCCGTCGATAGCATCACTACTTCAAACATCCCACGTTTGAGTATCGTCACCTACGAGGGGACCTAGTCCTTATTTGTGCCTTGAATGAACAAGGTTTGGTCAACAGTTTCTTCACTGTTGACCCAACTAACACACTGCGGGGACATGGTAATAAGATTTTCCAGCTCTGACTAGAGCACACACGTTTACCAGGCAGTGGTTACTGCCCTGCACTGAAAGCTTAAAGAGCAGTGCCATAGCACTCCTTTTCGCTTGTATCTTTCAGGCGAACGAAAGCTGCTGAACGACAAGAACAAACCTGACACGGGAAACTAGGGCGAAAGCTTCGATTCTGTGTATCAAACCGTTAATCCGTGAAGTGTATTGTGCACGTCATCGAAGCACAAGTGCACAATGATTCTCAGAACACAGGTGTTCGAGACCACTTATGTGGATGGAAAGCAGAAAGAAAGCTCATGGACCGAAGTCCAGTAAGCAATAACTACACATAAACCAAGCAAAATGGGAGGCAATGTATAATTCGAGCAGCTATACGGTACGTGATTTAGATCGGCTATTGGACGGTAATTTACGGTGTAGCTGTCGTCCAATTACCATGAAGCTTAGGCCTCAGAGGATCCGTTGCTCCACCCGATCACTTCATATTACTATTTCTTATGAAATGAAGTGTTGGCATTCAGCAGAACTACGTCATTCCAAATGATTTTCAGAAACCCGTGCTAACATTTTCTTTCTTTATCTGCATCAGTTGTTCAGTGAATGGCTGCTGGCGCCAAGCCCATTTTCTGAATTTTCCCATTCCGCCCGCTGTTTCCTTCTCCACATATTTGCAATTGCGGCGAAAATTTTTTCAGGAGGAAAAGTAATTCATGACTTGTGATGTATGTAGCATGACTGCATTCTTCATAGCGTGGGTGGCTTATATCGACGTGGTCATCCAAATGAAAACTCAAGCGTGTACGAGAGTAAGCGGTGGAACAACCATCCACGTCAACAGGCGCACGCTACTCTGTTTGTGAAATGCCTATGGTGGAGTTCCCGGAATTTAGTATGGAGGTGCTTTCACTTGACTAATGTTCCAAGTGGATGAACCACAAGGAGAGTCGCTTAACAAAGCTATGGATAATTTCCAGGCAAGCTTGGCGGGCAACCTCCGAGGTCGGATGATTTCGACCAATGTCCCCTTCAATTCCGAAAAATGTACGTGCCTCTCATTTTTGGTACCCCGTTATGGAGGCCTTCGTAAACCCAATGAACTTTTTATCCATCTGCACAACATGACGCAGCAATTTGAGGTGGTTCCGTGCCTGGATGCTGTTTTCGTTGGTTGCATCTGCCACTGACTAGAAGCACACCCATATCATTTTCACCGAAATCATAAATTAATAAGCAGTAAGTCTAATCTATTTGCAACTTCCGATGCGAGCGATATTTCAAGGTCATGGACAGCCACCGATTCACACTTTTAACCGGCTTACGAGGCAGCTGGCTATTCGCACAATGAGATTGATTGCTCGAAATTTACGGCATTTTCAGACTTGCCACTTCATAGGGTAGAATGTCTGTGTATAATGTATATGCTTCTGTATTATTGAAAATAATTTACTATGGCGATTCGTCTAAGTGAGCGAATTCTCAAGGCCAACAAACACCACCGACTGTGAATACGTTACCTGATGATTAAAAACTCGCGAATTGTGGAAAACATCGACTAACATACAGTGAACGTAACTTTCAGGTATTTTCCCACCGGAACAAATTTCCCCAACATTCTAGAATCCAGATGGCCTCTGGAGATGCAACGTATGCGTAGGCGCGTTCGTGGAAACAAATTTTGCTAGATGATTGTTTGTTGCCAGTAAAAATTCCGTAATGCACGCTAATTATTTGCCAAACGTCGTGCACGTTTGCTGGCAAAAACCAGAGTTTTCCACTATAGGTTGCGAATCATGCTAGGAAGACCTCGAGATTTATCTATTAGGAACATGGAACATACGTCAATCATAGCGGACAGCTGAACGATCTTAATCGGCGCACGCGACTAACATGCGGCTAGGGGTACACGATGCCTAACTAACTAGCCACATATAGCCTACGTCGACAATACCAGACAGCTGAACGATCTTAACCAACACACACGACTAACATGCGGCTAGGGGTACACGATGCCTAACTAACTAGCCACATATAGCCTACGTCGACAATACCAGACAGCTGAACGATCTTAACCAACACACACGACTAACATGCGGCTAGGGGTACACGATGCCTAACTAACTAGCCACATATAGCCTACGTCGACAATACCAGACAGCTGAACGATCTTAACCAACACACACGACTAACATGCGGCTAGGGGTACACGATGCCTAACTAACTAGCCACATATAGCCTACGTCGACAATACCAGACAGCTGAACGATCTTAACCAACACACACGACTAACATGCGGCTAGGGGTACACGATGCCTAACTAACTAGCCACATATAGCCTACGTCGACAATACCAGACAGCTGAACGATCTTAACCAACACACACGACTAACATGCGGCTAGGGGTACACGATGCCTAACTAACTAGCCACATATAGCCTACGTCGACAATACCAGACAGCTGAACGATCTTAACCAACACACACGACTAACATGCGGCTAGGGGTACACGATGCCTAACTAACTAGCCACATATAGCCTACGTCGACAATACCAGACAGCTGAACGATCTTAACCAACACACACGACTAACATGCGGCTAGGGGTACACGATGCCTAACTAACTAGCCACATATAGCCTACGTCGACAATACCAGACAGCTGAACGATCTTAACCAACACACACGACTAACATGCGGCTAGGGGTACACGATGCCGAACTAACTAGCGCACCCATCCATCTGTAACTGAAAAAAGGCTCGAAATGGACGTCATTGAATTTTGAGATATATTGGTCGTTTTGAAGTTTACATATG